CTTGTGGGTTTAACGCGTCACTCTAACGTGGATTATTTGATACCGTGGAATTAATACTAACTTTGGCTCATATTTAGTTTGCTCCAAAAACTGGAGGTAGCCACAACAAGTTATCAAACGGACAGTACTTTTTGTATACTTTTAAGTAGGAAATGAAGAAATAATGACTTTTTATCAATAATTATAATAACGAAGGAAAACAGCTTAAGTGAAATGACTTCTACCATTCAGTAAGGTGCAAGTTTAGTGATGAGTAACTTCCATGCATATACTTGAACTTTTGAAGGTGGTGGAAATGTTTGTAATAACCGACATTCGCCATCTAAACATATAATTGAATCTGTATTCTCTAGTATAAAGATTCCTGAATGAATAATGGTTTGAACTCAGACAGTCCGGGAGCACACGCTTTTGAAATGCCATACATTGCGCTTATCGCGTTGTTGGTCTCAGGAGAAACCCAGTTATCTCCTGAGAATGCTCATGATTTAAATTTGAAATGGGTTGTGATATACCGGTACGGTGGGACATTTCGGTTTTTTCTCCATGTTATTGAATCGTTTGATCCACGGGAACGGACAGAATAGGACAATAGGAGTTGTCTATTCCGTCCACCGGTGCTCATTTTATTTCCATTCCGCAAATTTCATCCCTTTGCGAAGACCTATGGATATAATACGGTTCTTCCTTAGTGAACTTTATGTTTCTGGTGCTACCAACAAACGATCGAGCGGTCTACTGAGTGTAAAGGTCTATAAACCTCTCGCGGTGTATGAATTCTTGACGATCTGGCAGACAAAACAACTGCAAATCTTCAAGATGGATCTGTCCGCAGATTTTATTTCATTGTATAAAGATTTAGGTTAGAAACCCCAACACACTACATATTTGAAACTGATTCAGTTAAGTAACACATTTAGGTGTGATGATCACACATTATAATTTCACAGTCACACAGTGGGAACGTTGCATGCCATAAAGTCATACATTGCTGAAGGTATGGCAACCAACCGCCAAAGTCTATAAGATTTAATAATACTCCATCTTCAATGTCCTTCACAAAATAAATGCGATTGCTAGCTTTGCATATCACTTTACATTTGTAGGTTAGACATGGTATCAGTTCGAAGAGCACCTATTTCAGATGACTCATTGCTGTTCATGGGAGTGATTGGTCGCTTTGACGTCGTCGAACGAAAATGGAATTTTGCTGTCCAATACCTGGTGGAGAATGTGCAAACTGAGGACCTAAATGGAGAGAGGAATGTCACTTAAAGAGAAAACAAAACTGTTTGGCATCAGTATAAATCATGAAAGAAACTGACCATATTGTGAGCCTAGTGAGACAATAATCACAGTTTGTGAAACCGAATATAGTGTTCAGTAGTTTTTTGAACCCAAAGAACTTAATCTCTGCAGCTAAACGAACTACTACTTTAACGACCACCACCACGACCACTTTAACCCTGTGAATGAATGGGAATATCACATCGGTCTGATTGCTGTAATTGTGCAAGTACAATCTTAGGTTGTCGGAAGTAGCCAAATAACTTTCGCCTTTGTAAGAAAAATGTTGTGGCTGAAGCATTGAAACCTCCAGACTTTCAATGGACATAAAATGTGTATGACTGAGATTATTGCATCTCTTTTCTCAAGGGCCATCATCGATTGCAAGATATGATGACGGAATTTTCAACCATTCTGAGCATTCTGCGAGCTCTTCAAGCCCAAAGCCTCACAGATGATCAATTCAAAACTTTTGTTATTGTCTGTGGTCTCCACTCACTCAACAGAACTTACATTCACACAAAGTTATTGTCTAAACTGGAAACTGACACCGCAACCAAGTTACAAGAAGTTACCGTTGAGTGTGAGCTTCTACTAAAGTTAAAACACGATGAGAAGATGATCCAGCAAACAGGCGACCTAACAGTTACCCACGTGATTGCGTTAACCACATACGGAGGACAGCAAAAAGAGACGTCGCACCGCAGGTTCGCACTGTGTAATTTCGTTCAGTTTTTGCATACAGGAAACAGTCGAGTTTTGAATGGTGACGCGATAACCTGGTAAACTCTTGAGTACGGCAAATATGGTAATAATTTCAGTAGACCAAGGAGAACGACGTAGGAAGTAGCCTATCTATAGAACTCCATTAATTTAGCTCGTGTTCAAATGATGAACTAAAGTGCAAAACGAAAGTTGACCTTCAGGGTAGTCATTGGAGGAGTATTTCGCTATTGCACACTTTTGCTGAGTGGGAAGAAAACTTCACAGTAATTGTGTAACTTAGTCGTGTAAGATATTTCCAACATTTGTCCCGATGCTTTCAACAGAGGCAGAGGTTGTTGTATGGGCTGGCAATTTCGTCTAGTAGGGAGATGCAGTCCTCATGAACGATAAATAACTGGAGGGTTAGAAATCAAACATGTCCATGGCGTTCGTAGTTTACGTTTAGACTCTGAAAACGTGTTGACGTTTACTCTGAAGGTTATTCATCAATGAATAAGTTGAATGAAACATATTTGATTTGACATATACGTTGAGATTTAGGGGTAGTCATCTACCGAATATATCAGTTCTGTAAATTTGAATATGTTTCAGATTATTTATATTATTTCTTTCTGCTCAAATGAGTGAGATAAGAGGTTGACAAAATAAATCAACAACAATTTGTCATGGCAATTTTGTTTATTAAAGGTTGGACAGTAGCTTCCAAATCGGCCTGAACAGCAATCACAAGCTCGAACCACTCAGAATTTTCACGTGAAATTTGAGAGGTGGTAAACCCACGTCCACCAAAATCGTCAGTCTTACTTGGAGAACAGGTCACCACAAACCTGAAGAAGAGTTTGACGATGTGCACCTGTTTAGTCGAGAGAAAACTGAGCTAAAGGAAAACCAGATGGCATTGGATTATCATTCACCCTAAGTTTACATATCCGGACATGAGAAGATTTTCCACTGTTTCCTGGTGCCGTTGTCCTATCTTACGTTTCCGCAGGTCCAACTATATGTCTATCATTCAAGAAGAACAGGGAAGAAAACCTTTAGACAAAAAATTGCAGAAATAGAAAGTTTATTACTTGAGGAAACCAAGACGAACAGAACATCAGAATTTCAGTTTCATTCAGCTGTTTTGCGTGAACAAACCGATCGAGAGGCATACAATGAAAAGCAATGTGGACGACATGGATTTGACAGCAGCATCTACAATGGAAGACAGATGGTACAAAGAAGAAGCAATA